CCTTACTTTGGTTTGCGAGAACATTTTGTTCTTGGCTAGACTTAATTCGAATAGCTCCATTAAAAGTGTTATATTGGAGATAAAAATGCTACTTGCATATGTTATTATTTGAGGCAGAGTTACCACTTACTCTGATTGATTATCTCTTTGTCGCTAAAGTTATGTTAATAGATGGTGATCACCTTTTCTTTCTTTGACGCTTTGTCTACGCTACATCACGAGAATAGAAACATTGGTATATACTGTAAAAATGTCATTGAACTGAGGCGACATTGACAGTAGGAACCACGATAATTCCTTTTTTTTTTTATTTTCCTACGTAAACAAAGGGAATATTGGAAGGAGACTAACTAGTTCATGTACATTCCACCTGTTTCCCCTATTGTGGCTCATGAGTTACCCAAAAATAACCATGAATGTGCTGCTCTATAATAAATTTAGAGACTGATTCTGCCACACCATTTATGTTGCATCGCATGTTTTAATCGTGTTTGAAGAACCGAATCAAATTTAGCTCCCTGAGTTGGGTACTTCGAATGAAATGACATGGCTAACCTGAGCGGTGTGTGGGGCCTGGAGGTGAGCCAATGCGCGAGAAAGATAGAAAATGTATTTTTTTCTTTCTTTTTGTGCGTTCGTGTTTGAACCACTAAGGAGAACCTGTTAGCAACTCGGCTAAAGAATAACAATGACTGAATTTTTTAACTCATACGCGGATCATGCTGGTTCGCCAAAGTTTCTTCTGCATAGCCGAGCCTTTGAATTCAAAGGTTTACAAAACAGGAGCGGCATGGGAGTTTAATTCAAATTGTACTTGAATTTACCTAAAGAAGTTTGCTTCTTGATGTTCATCAAACAAAGCAGGTGGAAAAAGGTGCAAATTTTATTCCTTCTTTTGTTTAAGTTTAGTCTCCGTATCATAATAATTTTCTCCCGTTCACAGTTTGTTTTCGTCCGAACCACGAAGGGGACCAGTTCAAAGCTCGGGTAAAGTGAAAACTTGCACTGATCATGCTCGTTCGCCAATTTCCTTCTGCATGGTCGAAACGAGCGATATAAGTTAATAATTGTCTACACGGGAGTGCCATCAGAATTTGACAAACACATATAACAAACTTTCAATCTTTTTATTTACTCGCACCGAGATAAGCAATCAATTTCGACTAGAAGATAAAAGGCTTTTTTTAAAATATTTATCAGCAAAAACCTCTTTTATTACTTTTGAAAGACGATCCGCCAAACTTTGTAGCATCTTTTGTGCTCTTCGGAAATGAATTTGTCCTATCGCTATGTCCTATGTCCTATCGATATGACACGCCCACAATGAGAAAGCAATGACGCTGGTAAGACTACATCTTCGTCGTTGTAAAAAGTTCTTTGCATGCAGCTGAACGGGATCAAATTCATAGCAGCCTTGGTGATAACATTAAAATTTTGATAATTAACCCAAAGAGCAAACCAGAAAAGTGATACTTGCGTGGACTCTCCTCTAGCTTCTCTTTTTTTTTTCTTTGTTTTCTTTTACTTTTTTTTTTTTTTTTATTTTTTTTTCATTATGACATGATTTTAAGTCCCTCCTTCACTTTTCGTGTGTCGGTTTTTGTTAGTTGTTTAATGGAACTTGATATAACACTACTTTGGCATTATGAAAAAAAATTGAAAAAAGTTTTTCTTTCAGCTAGATCAGAATTTGCATCTTATTCCAACTGCCTTGTCTTAAAAAATACCATTTAACGACTTACTTAATGAAATTAAACGGTTTTTTACACGTGCGTGTCAAAGTCTCATGGCACTTCCGTTTAGACAATTATTAACTTAAATCGCTCGTTTCGACCATGAAGAGGGAAATTGTCGAACGAGCATGATCAGCGCAAGTTTTCTCTTTACCCGAGCTTTGAACTGATCCCCTTCGTGGTTCGGACGAAAACAAACTGTGAACGGGAGAAAAGACTCAACTTAAACAAAAGAAGGAACAAAATTTGCTCCTTCTTCCACCTGCTTTGTTTGATGAACATCAAGATGCAAACTTCTTTGGGTAAATTCAAGTCTAATTTGAATCAAACTCCCATGCCGCTCCTGTTTTGTAAACCTTTGAATTCAAAGGCTCGGCTAAGCCATGCAGAAGAAACTTTGGCGAACCAACATGATCCGCGTATGAGTTCAAAAATTAAACCATTGTTATCTTAAGCCGAGTTGGTAACAACTTTTCCTTAGTGGTTCAAACAAGAACGTACAAAAGAAAAAAAGAAATACATTTTCTATCTTTCTCGTGCATTGGCTCACCTCCAGGCCCCACACACCGCTCAAGTTAGCCATGTCATTTCATTCGAAGTACCCAACTATGGGAGCTAAATTTGATTCGGTTCTTCAAACACGATTAAAACATGCAATGCAACATAAATGGTGTGGCAGAATCGGTCTCGAACTTTATTATAGAGCAACACATCCATGGTTATTTTTGGGTAAATCATGAGCCACAATAGGGGAAACAGGTGGAATGTACATGAGCAAGTTAGTCTCCTTCCAATGTTCCCTTTTTTTTACGTAGGAAAATAAAAACAAGAAATCATGGTGGTTCCTACTGTATTTAAATATTTTTTAGATGTTGTTAATGTCGCCTCAGTTCAATGACATTTTTACAGTATATAACAATGTTTCTATTCTCGTGATGTGGCTTAGACATAAAGCGTCAAAGAAAGAAAAGGTGATCACCAGCCATTAACATAACTTTAGGGACAACGAGATAAATTCAGAGCCAGGAAGGAACCCGTCTCGTAACTTTCATTTCATTTCATCGTGACTCTTATTTATTCAGTAGATTTGAGAAAATTAAATTTCCTCACGGCGGTAATGCAAACAGGTACATATGAGGTTCTTTTACGGACAAAATATCGAACATGGATACATTAATGTTTTGTTCAATTACGTTATTGTTATACGTTATAATACAAGTCTTAAAATAAAATATATCATTTTCATCCGGAATACATCGATTTTGGATGTCATACGTCGATGTTGTGCAGCATACATCGCTTTCCTGACTCATTCACGCGTGACCTTATATAACTAAAAGATGTTCAATAAAACTAAAAGATGAGGAAGCGGAAATAGAAATGACCGGAAGTCAGATTAAACAAGAAGCCCCGGAAACTTACACTTCAAAATGGCGGAAATGAAGGCAGACGATCAGTGAAGTTTGAGAAGCAATATGCAAGGTGTACGGATTTGGCTGCCCAACTTCAAGGGATTTTTTACCTCTTTGGGTAGGCTACTGGAAAGTGCAGATGGGCAAAGGAACACTGCGTCCTACGACTCGGCTGAAATTTTTAGTCGCCGTTTAGGAGAAAACGAAAGAACTCTTGTCACTTTGACTCTAAGAATAGAAGAAGCCTTCCTAAATGAAGTTGAGGTGATCTCTGATCTGAACGAACTTGTTTTTCTTATGAACGAACTTTCAAGGGACTTTGACAGAATTTTTGAGGACTCGGGACGTTCTTCGTTTACTGCACCATCGTCCCTAAACGATCGTCTTTCAACTGTGGCTAAGAACGGTTTAGTTGGCGAATCAAGGCTACAGATTTTACAGCAACAGCTGCACAATGACGCCACTTTTCGTTGGGCTGATATCGGAAGAATTCTTGGATGAGAGTATTGCTTATGGCAATATTGGTTTTGGAAAGATATTGACATGAAAGGATGATCCTTCCTTATCTTACTTTCAGTTAACAGTTGTGTTATTCTTGGACCCACAAACCATTTTTATTCATAATTTTTCATAGGACATAAAAAAACACATAGAATCATAATTACGAAGAGACTGAATAGGGGAGGGCGTTACTTGAGGTTTTAAGGAAAAAAATCTTTGTAATTGGTACAGTTATCCATGACTTTACATATGTTTATGATAATGTTTTGCTCCTTTATTGCTAGAAATTTCTACTTCTCAAATTAATACAAATTCCCTGTTAATTTCCTAAGTAGTGGCCAAGGAAAATATGCCAGTGGACCCTTCATATAAAACAATAAAATTTTCAAATCCGTTTAGGTTACTCAGGAAATGTTCCAGCTTCAAGTTCCTCAGCATATTAACTGTTTCGTTAACAGCATGATAAACTCAACACCAACAAAAAGAGCTTACAAGAGCTAATTTACAAGGGTATAAACTTCTCTGCAATAGCCATTATGCATGCAATGTAGCCACAGCTTCACCTCATTTGCTATTGTTTTGAGTGATTGCAAATCAAGGCTAGATCTCAGGTTTAAAGTGTTAATACTATGAAGTATCTAGTACATTATGCCACTATAACATCGTGTATTTTTTTCCCATTTTTTACACCCCTTTGTATTAGTAAGGCTGTCAGATTTGAGATTATAACTGATTATTGTTACTGTTCCCCATTTACATTGTCATTAGTAATTTTATTCTTGGCATACTGACATGTATAGCAGTAACCAATTTATACTACTGATCCATCCGAATTGTTTGTGATCCCATAATTCAGAAAGAGGCAGCGATCATTTCTGACGGAATGGCTTTCTACGCTTGCGAAATCTACGAACAGATCAGTTCTTCCGAAGCCTTTTGTCGTCCAGTAAATTCGTGAATTCCATCAGCCATCCACTGCTTTCGGACTCCATCTCTAGACGGTTTGTTCAAAGATACATCGAGCGGCTGAAGAAGGAAACGGTTACCGTATCTGTCACGTGAGCTTCAAATGAGTCGTAAACAAGCAAGCTCTTTCTCCTCCCCAGGCCACCGATCCGCGCACTTTTACTTTCTTTGTTGTCTTTTTAACGTATGCAAATTAGGACGTGCTTGACAAACAATTGAATCCGTGAATAATACGCACCGCGATTTTGATGCTTATTTTTATAGAAAAAAAGTGCGCATCATACACGGGTAAATACGGTAACTGTATTAAGAGTTCATTGCAAGTACATGAAGTTAATACAATAAATCATGAATAGCAGTTTAAATAAAAAGAAGCAATCTGCAATACCACTTGGTAGGCTATGATTCCATCATGATCACCAGTTTGGAAGGCTGCGTCTCTAGCTTCTTGCAGTGACAATTCTTGGTTATGTGACAGAGTAGTAATTGTGTCAGGTACCGAAACTGCATAGTCACTCTGCATGTCAGGTACAGGCCCTTCTTCATCAATCCCATAATGATTGAATAAATTAACAGTCTTTCTGGCAGTCACATCTGTCACAGCCTTATACCTAGAATTTCTGAAATGTAGCATTCCTTGTATCCAGAGCTGATTGGGAGAGAAGTTGCATTTTGTGCTTACAGGATGATTATTCCCCTGACTGATAAATTGGTTAATTGCATTATTAATCAGTGGAATGTAGACTAGAAGAATACAAAACAGATGCACCTCATCTGTTGGATCTAAAATTCCACTGTGCTCAAGAAAGAGGAAAATGTTCAAAAAGCGGCTCACAATAACCCAGTTGACATCACACCAGAGATGCTCTAATCTCTAGTAATGAACAGATTTTCCAGAGATGTGGCTGCCTCTATTTCAACCTCTTTCTTGCAGCATGAAGCGAGCAACTTCTATGTTTTCCATTCCAAGATCACTGCGAACTCTTGATGGTAAATTGTAGAGCTCAACAGCCGACTGGAAATACTGCAGTACAGTTAAGGCCCTGTTATTGGTTGATGCCTAAAGGAATACTATCATTCTTGAAAAACCATCTAAACCACCATGAATTATAATTTTGTATGGCTGGATTAGTTTGTGGTTTCCATCAATGTGCCTGTTGGACACCATGAAGACATTTGTTCCACGACACTATCACATATAAGTTAGGTTAAAATATAGTATGAAAAAAAAGTTAAATCTGCCTATCTGAGTAATAGTGGTAATAATAATAATGACAACAACAACAATAATAATCATAACAACAACAAGAGGCATTTTTGACCACCCATGAGTAACAGGCATGATAGTCAGGAATTTTGAGCATAATATCAGGGGAAGGTGGGGGCTGGGAAACTGGGTTAGGGTGATCAGTGAGGGGGCTAGATAGAACTGGGGGAGGTATCACAAATCATGAGTTGAATTGGCATTAATGCTCATGCATCAAAATTACAGCCTGACCTCCCTTGTATCACAGATTTAAAACCAGTGTTGCCCCTGTGTGGAAGGAACTCCCATATAAAAAGGAAAGGAGTGCTTGTCGCAAATTTTGACAAGTACCCTTAAAAGGTACCAAGATCCTCTTTTATGGGCATAGCTTAATATGCTTTTCACCCCTAAGAGGAAACAATTCTGAAACAACACAGTTAACCCTAGCTGTCATTTTTTTTCTGTTCAAGACCTTACCTAAGAGGAGGCGCAAAAGCTCCCGCTGTGGACCTTTTGGAACTGACCACCATAAGAGGTACCAACCCTGAATTTTTAAACCCTAAAAAGTATGACAAGCATCCCTGTCCTTTTTATACAGGAGTCCCCCCTGGGGGGTGTTGCCCCTAGTGAAATAACAAACTGCCTGACTATTTTGAAAAGAGGGGTAGTGGGCTCTAATGGTGTAGGGGGGCCTGTTAAAAAAGGAGACTCCTTTAAACAGAGACTCGTCAGAAAGAAGGTAGTGTTAACTAAATAGCGCTTCAACGAATTCTTTTACTTTACCATAACGCATTGGGGCATGGCTGCTCTTAAAGTGCGAAGAACCGGATCCACTCTTCGAATAGATTCCTGAATACAATGGCGCTGGAATCGTAAGCCCCTTTGCTTCAAGCCCCCTTCAACCTGGCGTTGACCAGCGCTTAATGTCACTTCAAGAATTTCCCTCACATATTAGTCAAGGTCATCGTTGGAGACATCACTGAAATTCTCTCCCACACCAACTGGCAACCCAAATTCATGTCTTCGACGGCGCAAAGTTCTTTCGGAGATTCCAAGAATTCTTCCGATATCAGCCCAACGAAAACCGGCGTCATTGTGCAGAGTTTGCAGCTGTTGCTGTAAGATCTGTAGCCTTGGTTTGCCAACTAAACCGTTCCTAGCCAAAATTGAAAGACGATCGTTTAGGGACGATGGTGCAGTAAACGTAGAACGCTCCGAGTACTCCAAAAATTCTGTCAAAGTCCTTGAAAGTCCGTTCGTAAGAAAACGAGTTCATTTAGATCAGAAATCACCTCAACTTCATTGGGGAAGGCTTCTTCCATTCTTAGAGTCAAAGTAACAAGAGTTCTTTAGTTTTCTCGTAAACGGCGACTAAAAATTTCAGCCGAGTCGTAGGAAGCAGTGTTCCTTTTCCCATCTGCACTTTCCAGTAGCCTATCTAAAGACATAAAAAATCCTTCGATGTTGGGCAGCCAAATCCGTACACCTTGCACAGTGCTTCTCAAACTTCACTGATCGTCTGCCTCTATTTCCGCCATTTTGAAAGTGTTAGTTTCCGGGGCTTCTTGTTTAATCTGACTTCCGGTCATTTCTATTTCCGCTTCCTCATCTTTTAGTTTTATTGAACATCTTTTGGTTATATAAGGTCACGCGTGAATGAGTCAGGAAAGCGATTTATGCTGCACAACATCAATGTATGACATCCAAAATCGATGTATTCCGGATGAAAATGATTTATTTTATTTTAATACTTGTATTATATATAACGCATAACAATTTTTGTCCGTAAAAGAACCTCATAGGACATTAGTAGTCGGGAAAGTGATCAGCCTCAAAAATTTTAATTTCAACGCTTACTGAAAAAAATAATAAATCAGAGCTTAAAACCTGTCTTTTTTTTCTGTCTCTTAGAAATTCAAGTCAACTCCCTCCAGCTTAAGCTTAATATTTTCCAAAAATGGTCTTCCCTGAGTCTTTATAGTTTGGAGCATATAAGTGCTCAACGAAGACTAGCTATGTCCATGTAAGAGATCTGGAACTACACCTAAGTCAGACAAAGCTTCAGCAGCCTGTGCATTTTTCGGCTATGATACAGTTTTTCTTGCTGTTCAGTATAATTTCATCCCTGTCAATTGGCGAAATTACTGCCAGCAAAGTCAATTACAAAAAGATGAATGTTTCAGACCCTCAGGGAGCCTCGTCTCGCGGTCCGTACATTACTTACCGTTTAACGCGACTCATCGCCCTGTTCATTCTGCAGAGGAAAGCTAGTACGTCATCGATCCGTCGCGGTGACGATTATAAGAAGCAAGACGAAAGTTTAGAGCAAGTGAACGATGGATTAACGAAAGTGCTTGGCTTGTTTCAGGACATCGCTGGATCTTCATCGAGTATGAAGAATGACGATGTTAAGAAACTCATCAAAGACAAAACAAGGCTAGGATGGCATGGATCCCAAACAAAGGTATGAGATTGTTTTTTAATGCGCAATTTCATTCTTTTAAAGTTTTAAAGAAGGTTGTGTCCAATAAAATTTGGGAAATTCATAAACGTCCAACTTATGAGTTATCATCCTTTCTGTTGTCCTTTCAGAAAAGGTAGTATCGTCGTGCAAAGAGATTTATTAAAAAAACAGTTGAGAATTGGCTGAAATGTTGCAGAATTAAAAGACACTGGGTTTTAGTCTCCAGGATGCGCGGTGATAGTTTTAAGCGCAAAGCTGAAGACCCTCGGCAGACCTTGAGAATTAAAGACAGGAGACAGCAAAAGAAGACCACTTTCTCCTAAGGTGTCTGCAGGAAAAAGGGGTATAACTAAATAATAAGATTCGGACAGTTACCGTACGTTTGTTCATGGAAAATTATATTAATGTATATGTGCAACCTAAGTCCAATATGTGGCATAAAGAGATGTTCCGTAATATATCTCAGTAGAGGAAAAATCGAATTATATCTTAGCCGAAAAGACATTTCATGCCAAAGGGGAGTGATTAAGGCCCAAATGAAATCGGCTATCGTATTTTAAAAGACCAGAGATTATTAAGGTTCTCCTCTACAGCTATAGCTAGCAATTTTCCCTTAAAGCCAGCTTCAGCATTTTTTTATTATTATTTGCCTGTTCCGTTTGATTTAAAACATGAACTTTCCTTCAGGTATCTATTCAAATACTACGCTTTGATTTACCAACTGTCAAGATCGACTCCAACTCTGTTTCCGTATCAGGTTTCTGGAGGACAGTGCTTACCTGCTTCAGACGGATTGTGGGTATGTCCCTATTTACTGTCACATGACCAGCTCTGGCATGAGCGCATGTAGAGGAGGTGGATGGACGCTGGTCATGAAGATTGGCGGCCAAAAGGTAGGTCCTTTGTAAAGCGCAGTAATAGGGAGGGAATTATGTTTGCTGCCGCCTAGATTCATTTATCGTAGGGTAGGTTGCTTCACATAGGAAATTAAAATTTATCATATTTTACTGAGCACAAAAGTTCAAACTCCATGATCGCACCCATCAATCGGCAAAACTGTGATCAAAACAAACAACAGGAAAAAGGAAATTAACATCCGATAATGGCAATACATGAAGTTGACATTTTCTTTTATCGTAAGAAGTGTCCGAGCGAGTCTGAAACAGTATTTGTCGACTACAATTTTGAATTAGGGACCGGTTTGGCTAGCCTTATTAAAATGTATGAACCGGAGACAACCCAAAGAAGAGACTCGTTCAGCATTTATTTACTTTATTAATTAAAAAAACAAAAGCAAAATACTTTCCATGGTGCTCAAAATTTCTCCAAAAAGTTGGCCTTAACATCAAATTAAAGTTACATTAATTTTCAGCGTCGTTGTATATTAGCGGGATTCCTAAAGAGTCTCAACTTTCTGGCCTCTCAGGTGTGCGTCTTCATCTAGCAGGATCTGTTTGCAATCGAGCTGTCGAGCAATGGAGTAGACTCTTCGTTCCCGCCCCTTGTTCAAATTACAAGCCTATAAATTAAAATAGAATTTTAATTGCAGCCATACCTACTTGAAATATGAAGAGCTCCTAAAAATCAGAATAATTTTTGGTTTTAAAATTAAGCTAGTTTTTTTCGCTTGTGATTAAAGGGCACCAGGTAATTTTTTGCTACAATTCAGTCCTCTCTTTTCCAGTTTTACTTGCTCCTTTTTTTAGCCCGTATTAAAAAGTTAAATCGAAGTGTATCATGTATTTACCTTCCTAGAGTCATTTTGTGCAGGCCATTTTAACACTTGCGGTTCCTTCGATCAGAAGAAGTGACAAAAGAAAAAGAACACCGAAAGCCAGTTTTGTTTCCGTTTCTTTGTTGAGGCATCTTCAGATTCAGTTTGCTCGGTGCGTTCGTTTGATTTGGAAGGGTAGTACAGTAGGTTTTTATAGTGGAAAGATCTTGGATCATCTGTACTTTAAGCGATATGCCATGCAATGACGCAGGTAAGGCTCTATCTTCGTCGTTGGAAAAAGTTCTTAGCATGCAGCTGAACGGGATCAAATTCATAGCAGTCTTTGTGGTGACCTTTCAGCTTTTTATATTTAACCCAAAGAACAAGCCAGAAAAATGATACTTGCGTGGACTCTCCTCCCACTTCTCTTTTTGCTTGTTTGTTTTCTTTCGCCTTTTTTTGTTCTCTTATTTTCCATTATCATACACTATCATAGTTTGGAGCATATAAGTGCCGAACGAAGACTATATCCATGTAAGAGATCTGGAACAGCGCCTAAGTTAGACTAAGACTAACACTAAGTTAGCTTCAGCAGCCTGTGCATTTTTCGGCCATGATACAGTTTTTCTTGCTATTCAGTATACTTTCATCCCTGTCAATTGGCGAATTTATTGCCAGCAAAGTCAATAACAAAAAGATGAATGTTTAAACCCTCAGGGAGCCTCGTCTCGCGGTCTGCACATTACTTACCAGTACATAGACCAAGCCACGTTCACCAATGAAGGGACTGAGAAGTTATATCAAAAGATTCAGCGAGTAGACGAACGTTTAACACGACTCATCGCCCTTTTCATTCTACAGAGGAAAGCAGGTACGTCATCGGTCCGTCGCGGTGACGACTATAAGAAGCAAGACGAAAGTTCAGAGCGAGTGAACAATAGATTAACGAAAGCGGTTGGCGTGTCGCAAAACATCGCTGGATCCTCGTCGAGCATGAAAAATGACGATGTTATAAGAAACTCATCCCAGACTCTTTGCAAAACAAGGCTAGGATGCCATGGATTCCGAACAAAGGTATGTATAACTTCCAACAGTGGACTAAACACTCCAAACACTCCAGCATTGTTCATGTTGACATAAATTTGGAGCACATACCCGCGGATTAGACTTTACGGCAACGGACTGTGGATTTAGATTCACGTTAACCTGATCCGAATTAGCTAAACACGGGCCAGAGTACAACAGACCAAGAGGGACCACACACGGCTTCGGGTCTTTTACGGGTGCTAAGGCCTGTTCTCTGGCTTGCGACTTGGCAATCTCCGTTTCCAAAGTAACACGCCTTTCTTCTTCCTTAAGAAGGAACTTTCGTTTTTCTAGAAACTGGTGCTCACTGAAGGCTGCTGCTTCCGCTCTTAACTCCACGACGCAAGCGGCCCCCTTTGCTCTCGCCGCTGATAGAGATGAGGCACCGCTCCTATGCGAAACGCTGCTTCTGCGTGAACCACTATGACTAGAACCCTTAGACACTCTTGAAGACTTAGAAGCTGACCGAGAACCAACCTCATCAATTGAATCTTCTGGGCTAACCTGAACTTTCAACTGAAGCACTTCTTCGGCTCCAGCGATGCAGTCCTGAACTCTCTGGACAAAGTCATCCTTTAGCACAGCTTGGCGATCGAAGGATTCCCGACATCTGGCAATGCAAGCCTCGTCTTGAATGGACGACAAGTGCAGAATGTGCGCTTCTTTAAAATTCTCGAAAGGGACCATAAACTCCGTAAATTTAACCTTCACGCGGTCAATGTTCTGCGCGTCTGACAACAAGACCTCGACTTCGCTTTTCTTGACAGTCGCAGTTGAGAGAAAGCTTGATCTTGAATTCTTGAGGCGAAGAAGCTTGCCGTACAGGGCGCCTTCATTAAGTACTGACATCGTGACTTGAATACCTTTCCGAACAAATTTCTAACGATATAACTTCCAACAGTGGACTAAACACTCCAAACACTCCAGCAATGTATTAACGCGCTTTATTTGAGATACGATGTTGTAGTTGCGGTTCTTCAAAGCGGTTAAAAATTTGTTAGGAGCTGGAAAAAACTACACTGGAGCGGCCACCAACTGTAACGTGAAATCTGGCTGCCATAGAGCGAAAAATGAACGCTTGGAAATGGCAAGCGAAAAAAACTGAACCGAAAAGACTTACACGACCTTTAGATACTAACGAATATATTACCATAAATTAATCGAGTAACACGCTGAAATACATTCCGCGCGCACGACGAACTAACCTACAAAAATCCCAAAGGGCTAAAAAATGACACTAATAAACGGGTGTTTAGTTCTTCACAGTATGAGATTGTTCTCCAGTTCTCCCCTCGTCAAACCAAGATTTACATATAGCTAGTACTCCTCAAATCCCAGGAGACGTAGAGCAGCCCGGGATGCCTTCCAGAGTATAATA